AAATACATGAATTTATAGCATGTAGAGCATCATGTCCCAAAAATAATAAAATGCCCTCATGGCTTTACAATTTCCAAGGCTTAAGCTTGGTTACACAAAAATGGCCTCTCGGACCTATACATGAATAGCCCTTGGCTAACAAAGTAAATCACAACAAATAAAGTCATCTACTCTTCACAAAATATGTCCACGCCCTCAACTCGGTGTGATCACCACATCTTTTCCTACACCAAATCTCATAGGGGTGAGTGTACGGGGAGGAAATAATTCTCCTCGTATAATCCTGTTGACCAAGTCCACGCTCCTCCGTACGACGTCGCTTTATCACCTGAAAATACAAACGTGAGCTAGCCGGCGGGTGTGTGCCGGAAACCTCTCCGATGCCTAAGTCAGTAAGCTTGACAAATAGACAAAGCTCTATGTTCTCAGGAAGAATTGTGTTAAAAAATTACCTCCTCCAAGGTGGTGCTTGTGAGCTTTTATAGGTTTCGAGTGGCATAATCCTAGTAGGACTTTTATTTCTCCATGCAGAGTCCTCCTAGGATTCATATTCCTAAGGATAATGCTTATCCTTTTACACCCTCCCCCACTGCTTAAACCAAGTGGGATGGTTTTTACCACGGCCGAACTTCTATGTGACCGAAATAACACTGGCTGAGCCACAGAGTAGGCCGAACTATCCTTAGTTCGGTTTTCTCCCGTTCAACCATGGTATGCTGAGACCAAGCTTCTGAGTAGCAAGCTCCGACCGATCTAACAATAATACACCGTAACCGGACTAACTGTGAGACCGGACTAGCTTTACACCATCTTGAACCGGAGTAACCACACCCCTCCTGGGCCGGAATAACTTCACTTCTCCTGGGCCGGAGTACCTATACCTCTCCTGGGCCGGAGTAACCTTGCGGCCTTTTCACCAAGTCCTTGGCACTTTGGGCCACGAAGCCTATCACATAGCTCGGCCCAATTGTTACCAAAAATTACCCTCTCAGTGAGCATAAAGCCCAGTAGAGAATTCTTATAAAGTATATACAGTTACGCAAGGTTTCAAATATTCAATACAAATGCAAATGCCATGCAATGCCATTTAAAGAAAATTTCATTACACACTCTTCTTGAAAATCACCATGTTTCAATAATAGTTTGCGATCTTATCAATTCCAAAACTTCCTATTTTAATCAATAGGGACGGTAAATACAACTCAGGTAATCCCTAGGTTGGTGTCTGCAAGTAGGCTCAACAAGCACTACCAAATACCCCACTTTACCGGTTGCTAATCAGAAGGGAAGTGGTACCTCATCCGCACGTGTTTTCGGTCTTTCACCCCGGACACTCAGGCCAACTTATCAATTTCATCTACATCTCCTATCCGGACTTACCAACGTATTTATCCCATAAATATTTCCATGGTTTCGTTTCACAATATTTCATTCTCAATGAAAGTTCCAATTCCAATCAATGATCATGACATGCAAGGTTTTTAGAAAAGTCAATGCAACAATCATCCATACAACATCATGTTTTTTACCTTTAACAAGCTTTCAACAAATATTCAATGATGAACAAATTTTTCCCTTTTTTCCCCCCATTTCAATGCCAATCCACAATTAGCCCAAAAGTATGCTACCATTTGTCCAATAAACATAACAACATGCCCACAATTTATGCATTTCCACAATTTTTATCATTTCAAGCTATAACAAAATTTGGAAAACAACCTCCATAATTTTCATGTGTAGAGAAACCCCATCAATATATATGCATTTGTAATAAAACAAGAAGAACTCTTCACTTCTTTACTTATCATGATACACCACTATGAACATACATAAATATATATATATATATAATATCACCCATGAAACCCTCATCTTCTTTTATTCAAGAAAACCCCACAAAATTTCCTAGATTTTCCTCTTTTCAAATAACACATACACACACACACACTAAACACTTGAAAGGGACCCCAAAGAACACATCATTTTCTTCTCTACAATAATTTCAACCCTCAAGATGCTATCTTAAAAGGATTTAAGATTTTTGAAACTCATTTTTGAAAATCTCTATATTTTGAGTCATAAAATCAAAACCAACATAATAGTTTCAAGAGAACCTTTAAATCAACTTCTATGATGCAAAATATGTATATATAACTCAAGAAGTCCCTACCTCAAGGTTTGATGAAGAAAAAGAGATGAAACCCTAGAAACCAAAGGTGCCAAAGCCCAATCTCCACCATACACAACGAAGCTCTTGAGGAGCTCTTCCACTTTGATAAAGGAACTAGGGTTAGAAATGCAATAGATCTTGAGAAATCAAGAACTCTAAGTTTGGTGGGTGAAATGTAGAGAGAAGGGAGGGGAGATGGTTTTTAGAGAGAGAGAGATATGAGCCAAAAGTGATACAAACACAGCCCTAAAGAGAAAATAAAACAGAGATTCGGACTGCTCAGCATCCCGCACGTGCGGTACATGCCCCTGCACGTGCGGAGCCTCCTTCCCACACTTGCGGCCGTCATCCCCGCACGTACAGCCATTTCTTCCCGCACATAGCTCCGCACCTGCATATATTGCAATGTGCTGCCCCAAACCTCCCCTGAATTCCGCACGTGCGGCCCTGTTTCTCCAGCCCAAAATTTTCTCCGCTAAATTCTAAGCACTTCAGATCTGGTCTCGCACTCTTCGGAACAGGTGAAAATCAACACTGAACAAACGAGAATAATAATTTACTTGGGGAACAACTTCCGAACACCACGAATTTAAAGTTAAACAAGGTAGAACGGGGCAAATAATACCCTCGGTCATCACACTTAGCATATTGTTCCATGAGGCTTCCCTCTATCATTTCTTGTGCTTTTCTCTTTGTCCTATGCACTTGGTTCCTGGATATACCAACATTGTGATCCTTTTGCATAACTTGCTTGAATGACTGCATTGGAATAGATGGATTAGACTTTAATGTCTCTAAGTACTTCTTAGACAGCCAGGTAGAATTCACTTGTCTATTATAAAAATTCTACCACAATTGTGAGTGGGGACATATGTCTTTATCTAGAATGATGGTTGTCCATGCATCTTGGATGCATAAAGCATCCACTCACATGGTGGCTTACAGGTGGCCTTAACCCTTATGCTATCATTTCTGACTAACTTAATAGCCATCCTAGTCTTAATACCATGCTCCTTAACAGTAGCTTTGAATATTTTGGCAATGCCAAAAACCATGCCAACCTTGAATTGTGGGTTTGCCATATCTGTGTCTCGATTAAACTCTGGGTATCTAACCCTATTGCTTCCAGCCTCTTCATCAGAAGATTCATTAATGCTCTTCAGGTCATCAGATTTAGCATCAGGCTCTAGGCAGTCAATATGAGATATCTCAACCCTTTCATCATTATGCATCTGCCTTCTTAACCCACCCCATTCAACATTCCTATCAACATTAGCATCAAATAGTATGTCATCCTCATTGAAATCATAGTCACTATCCTCAAACTCCTCTAGATCTATAGAATAGTTGGATGAATCATGACTTTGCCTTTCAACTTCAACTTCAACCTCACTCTCACCCTCCACATTACTTGTGCCACTTCCAATTTCCTCAATAACAACTGATGCAAGGTGAAAGGGATTAAACTCTTCAAGCTCAAGCAACTGATCATCAAGGATGTGCTCTAAGTACACTTCAATTATCCTACTTACATGCACCCATTTCACCATATCCATTACATCACTATCATTCCTAAGTGGCCTTAATCCATAATTTAAGTTCCTACCATGCACTCGATGATGGTATGAAATGAATTTAGTATAACCTAACTTTTGACCCATATCCCCTATCTTTGTTAACCTCATTTTGTCAGCATCACAATTGTCCCAAAATGATAATTTCCCCCTATGTAAGCCTTATTTACTAAAGCCTTAAAAACCTCACCATGATACATTTTGATAGTGAAATAATGACCATCTGGATCTGAAATAGAAGATAATATATTTATTGCATGATCCAAAATACAGGACAAGGGGGACCACAACATATTATATATACATCAATTATAGATATTGATTAGTTTTTTTGTCAGTGAGCAGTTGTTTAGATGTGTCGACATGAGTGAATATATAAACATATATTCACCTCGTCACTTTCAAACAAAGCAAAGCAAATTAGATTCTTTGACCCATCCAATGATTCAACTTGCAAACAGATAAAATAAAGCAAAATACAAAACCAAAAAAGAAAAGAAAAGTAAAGAGTACTTTTTTGCTTACCATAATATGATATTTCATCACCAATCCTCATAATCCCCATGTTCGTCTTTTCACCTCGTCATATCTACGCCAATTTCAGCAGATTTACAGTCAAACAATTTTTTGGTAACTCAAAACCCTAGAAATGATTTGATTGTGTAGAGAGAGAATGGACTTGCTGATTTGGAGAAGATGCAAGTATAGGGATGAGGGAGGTAACCTAAGGTTTGAGGTGAAAAGACAAGTGTGCCTCTCAGTAATTGCTAGAGGGAGCACGTGAGAGGCAGGTGTTGGCTTTCCATCCATAATTTCAAACGGGCATCAATTATTGGACGAAATTGACACACTTCGTTAAATTGAAAGGCTAAATCGCGCAATTTGAAATGTTAGGGACCAAAATGACACACGGGATAAAGTACAAAGACTATTTGTATAATTTGCCCAAAATTTTTTATTCTTAAGTTTTTCTATTCTCCTGTCTCAGTATACTTTTAACTATTGTATCATGTGAAAATTTCGACACTTAAATCTGAAAACGTACATAAGGGAATCGAGATTTGGAACCCTTTTGTGTTTGAATGATAAAATTTGTGTATCTACTAAATTAGTAAGAAATGCAATGGCACACGGGGACAAAAATTTAAGACAAAACATCCCGTGCCATTCTTTCCCACCTTGCGCACTTGAAAATGCCTGGCTTATGCAGCCCCAATTCAACGAGATGAACATTTTGATTACTTCTTGCATAGAAATGGATAAGGAAAATATATATATATATATATATATATGTATTAGTATACATGAAGGGCAATACATTATGCCAAACAAGCCTTCTACTTTGCGCATGATTTTCTTCTGTTTCATTACATTAAACAACATTCTCAGCCATGAAAACAATTGTTAGTCCATGTTAAATCTTCTTCTGATCAACATCAAACAGTCATCATCTTGCCATCTCAGCAATCCTTGATGGGCATGAAGCAGCGTAGCCGCCTCCTCCTTGTATCTGTCTAGTATTGTAGGACTTGCATCTCAGGCATTTGTGTGCCACAATGTGGAAATGAACTTTGGATCTTTCTCCACAGTCATTACAGAGAATCCATACCTAGTTAAATTCAAAATCACCGTGTTAAGAAATACGTACACCACTTACTGTATGTTAATCAATGGATTAATTGCTCATTTTGTTTATTTGTAAGTTTTGTTACTTACCATCTTGTTTTGGTACATGTTTGGCATTGGAGTGGAAGCAACCTGCATTCAAATTTTAGTAAGACAATGTTAAAATTTGTGAAATCAAAACCCGTAAAAAAAGAAAAAGAAAAAAAGAGTAGAAATACCTCTTGATCAAGCTTTTCCCACAAATTGGACAAATCGCAGATTGATTTTGAGCAAACAGGGCATGAATATCTGCATAGTCCATTGAAAGTCAGATTTAAAGAAAAATGAAAAAAAAAAAATCAACTAAGCGCTGTTTTTAAGTAGTAGGGTGATTTTCTTACCTAAAATGTAGCTCCATTTCTTTCAAGCATTCCAAATGTATCGTGTGCCCACATGGTAATACAGTTATATCTTTCATCGTATCAAACAAAAACTGCAAATTGTAATAATGTCCCTCTAAGAATCAATAATTCAACACATTTCTTTGAAGTTTTGTTAGCATTAATTATGTCATAGTTTCATTTACCTCAAAACAAATAGGACAATTATGGTGCATTGCCTGTTCAACGCAGTGGTGGGCATCCTTGATCAATTTCGAATAACAACATCCTGGATCGAGACGGTGAAGCTCTTCAAAAATCAGCTTTTGGGAAGAAAATATTTCACCCTTTAATGGAAATTATATAAATAGGAAATCAGCTTTGGCTTACCGCACTTGTTGCAGTGAAAGAAATTGTCCTTGCCTCCGGTTCTGCAAAAGCAATCAGAGGGAAATTAAGTTTCAAGAATCCATAAAATAAAATAACGTGGACAAGAATGTGGATGCTAATGATCAATAAAACCATGTTTGGTTCTTGGATTTGTTGAGAGAACTAGAAAAATAAGTAACTCTAAACAGAAAAGATGGGTTTCTTTTTTATTCATTTTCTTCTCATTTTCCTAATCCTCCCAAAAAAAGAGAGAAAAAAAAAAAAAAAATAGCCTCTACTTCATTTTCTTGTCTTTCTTTCCCTTACTTTTTCCTTTCATAAATTGTTTCCCAAATCCGAGATTCAAATACAATCTAAGGTTGTGTTTGGATCATGGGATTTGTGGAAAGAAAGGAAATTGGCAGAGGGAAAAATAAATGAAATATAAGCTAAATTTTGATTACTTTTTCTCTTAATTTTTCTTTTCTCTTTATAAATCCCCTCAAATTCTTGATTCAAACAGTCTAAGAGAATAGAATAAAATCAGGCATAGCCTTTACCATTGAACCAAAACTAAATGAAAGTAATAAAAGATAATTAAGTAGTGAGAATTTAACCTGCAGATTCCACATTCATGACAGTGGTATTGGTTCTTTGAAACCTGATATGCATAACCTTCTTCGTAAGTACATTTTAACTAGATTTATCAATTAAAAAATAAAAAAGATGAAAATAAATAAATAATAGATAAAGTAGAAGGGTTACATCATCATCGAAGAATTTGCATTCTGGGCAAAAGTACTTTCCCATGGAAAGACCACAGCTAATGCAATTTTGTTGAACCTTCAAAAAAAAAAAAAGAAAAAAAAAGGCACATTTGAGGTTTAAAAACCACATTAATATTTTTTGATAAATTGTTTTGACATTTTAGGATAATGTTTTGGAGACTCACATCTTGTTCTGTGCTACATAGGGAACATATGACCTGAACAAGCATATAAAATAGGAAACAATTAGAAACATAATAGGAAAAAAAAGAAAAAGAAAAGAAGGAATAAATGTAACCATCCTATGACAAAAAGAGAAATTGTTTGTGGATCAAATTCATGCCCTCAACAATTTAATTCATATTAAAAAATAAATAAATATACATATACTACATTACATATACAAAAAAAAAAAAAAGAAGCATACCTTTTTAACTTCATGGCGTGGAATATCATGCCGATGGAGAGGATCAATGTCCACTGCGTTCTGTTCATTTTCAATAATGTTAAAAAAATAATTAAAATAAAAAAAAAAACCTTAACAATCATCAATTATTGAATCATATCTTATCTTATTTGACGAGATTTAAAAAAAAAAGAAAAGAAACCAAAGAGTTAGCCGGGTGACAAATTGAGTCGTAATAATAGTCTCAAGTAGGGTTGGAACTTGGGCAGGTTCAGACTCAATCCGAGGTGTAAAGGGATTTGCTCAAGCCCGAACCCGAGCCTAACATCTACTCGAACTTGCTTATCTAAGACCGAACACGAGTTTATCTCAAAGAATTTAGATTAGGCTCGGGTTGTGAGAATTTCTGTTGAGATTCTGTCTAAATTTAATCCAGACTTACAAATTTTAGCGTATTAAATTTGGAATTATAATGTCAAATTCTTAATTTTGTGGATCAAACTGTGGAGTTGGGCCCACCCAAATTGAGAGAGAGAGAGAGAGGAATGAAGGTGAGAGACCTTGGCTTCATTATGGCAATGTCTGCAATCAAAGATCTCATCACAACAGGGGGCTCTGATTTTGCATCTCCTCCTGTAATGAGAACACCTACAACCGAAAACCCAACAATAAAAAAACTAAGAACATGACAAAAACAACTTTAAATCACAAAACAAACACAGAAACAGATCAAATCCAAAGACTAATTACCCGAATTTTTCAGAACCAATCTCAATCATATTCAGAGACTCCTCTTTAACCAACGAGTCCGACCCATGACACAATGATTTGTGCTCTAATTCACTACCCATTTCTTTCCAGTTTCTGAAAACCTTCAATCTTTCTTCTTCTTCTTCTTCTTCTTCTTCTTATTATCTGCACTTATTATATTGCCTATATATATATAGAGAGAGAGAGAAAGAGAGAGAGAGAGAGAGAGAGAGAGAGATGGGTGGGGTTCTTTGAAGTGTAATGAGCGGAGATGGTGGAGGGATGCTCTGTTTTTATGTGGCGCGAAAACAGCGGTTGGTAGGGGTGGAGGGGCTTATGAGTGTAAAATTACAGTAGTACCCAAGTTATTTTTGAGTATAGGGTAGTTTGAGAGGAAGTTGTGTTGTCACGATCTTAACTGATAGGGATAGTTTGGGATATGACAATATTTGCGGATAAGCGAGGATTTTACAAGCCCCACGCTCCGTTTGCCAGTCGTCTGCTACATCGCGCCTTATTTTTGTTAAAAAAAATGCTTAAGACCTCTATTGTGAGTTTTAGAAGACCTCTAACTTATGAGTCCCACGGTGTAATTTGATGTTTTGATTTTTGATATATATATATATATTTTTTAATTGTCACAACACTAATGTTCTTATTAGAGCATTTCTAATAGAAGTCTTAAAGTACCTCTTTATCTATTTTAAGGGGTAAGTGGCTCCCTATATACTTGCATCAGCTTCTCTAAATGATTTTTTAAATTAGTTTTTGCTACAGTGACTTCCTATTTTTAGAGAGTTACTGTTGCTCCCTCATATTTTTTTTTTCTTTTTTTTCTTTTGCTTTGCTTTGCTTTGTTTAGGGATTGCAGTACACATTTATGGTTTTTATTTTTTTTAAATTTATAATTAAAAATTATATTTTAATAAAATAAAGAAAAAATAGAGAATTTGTTAATAGAATAGAGAAAGAATAGGGAGTCTGTTGGGAGAAGTAAATGAAAAAGTGATTTATAAAATAGGAAATGAAATTTTTAATAATATTTTAAAATAAAATTTAGATAAACTGGTAGGAATGCTCTTAGAGCTCTATTATTAGAGCTCTTAATCACCACTGTTTTGTAAAAGCCTGCCCTTTTCTCTTAAGGTGAAGCTGTATTTCGAATTTATTTTATTAATTTAATGTGTTTATAATGTAAAATTTGTTAAATAGATTATTAATAAAATAATTTAAATTAATTAAATATTCGTAATCAACAATTAGTGGTGGAGTCAGAAAATTAAATTAGAAGGGACATTTATTAATTATAATTTTTTATTTTAAAAAAAATCATGAGCAACATTAAGATAATAATAATTTTATGAGACAAATTTAAATATAAAAAATTACATATTCATTATTAATAATAACAAATCAAAATTCTATAATAGTGTGGAATAACTCAATGTGGGATGATGATGTAAGTTTTCAATTTTAGCACAAAAAGTGATGGATCAAAATTCTTAATTTTAAAAAATAAAAACACATCATTTATAGCACATATTATTATAAACTCTATTGAATTTTTATTTGACAAAAAAAATATTAAAAAGATGACGTTGCTTATAAATGATGTATTTTGAATAAAAGTTATTAAACAGTCTTAGAGTACGTGATGCTCAAAACATAGAAAATCACAAATCACACTAAGTGATATGCCAACTACTTGAAAATAATTTGTTTATTATATCTAATTTATAATATTTTTCGCTATCCTATTGATTTAAACTATTACATAAAAAATATTATATAATGTTCCCAAAGTATCAAATAACTACTTGTTGTGAACAACATACTAATAAATTCTTAACCAAAGAACATGCTAAGAAAAAAAGAAAATACATTTTATACATGACAAAAAAAAAAAAAAAAAACAAAAAACAAAATTGCAAAATTTAGGGGGGCATGTGACCTCCCTTGGCCTATGCTGCCTTCGCCCCTGTTTACACTAATATATGTGTATTTTGTTCTACATATTGTCTCTCCTTACCTTTTCATGATTCCATATCTTTTTTAATTTTTAATTTTTTATTTATCTATTTTTTAACACTGTATTTTGGGGAATTGCGATGTTGCTTCTCTTCATAAGAACAAGGGAGAGTTTATATTGTAGAATATAATAATATTGTGTTTGCTTGGCCAATGGTTATGGAGGTTCCCTCTTGAAAGCAATTATTTTTGGCATGCTGTTATGAATATGGTGTTAGTCCACTGCCCAAATGGAGAAACTACTATGGATAGTAAAAGAAGATAGGGAAGGTGGCTCTTCCACTCTTCCACTCCACCAAACCCACTAGCTAGTGGAAGGGGTATGTAGCAACTAATAAGTACCTCCCTCAATTGTGTATAAATTGAGGTGAGGAGGAGGGGTTTGATATAGATTGCATAGTGTGTAATCTGTGAGAGATTGTGAGCAACAAGTGTGAGTGAGAGTGCTAAAAAAATTACTTAAAATATTAAAAAAATTCAATAAAAATAAAAAAATATGAAAAATAAAAAAATTTAATTTTCTAAAAAATATTTTTAAAAAAAAGAAGCAAGTAAGATTATTTTCTTAAATACAAATCAAACGCAATGTTTTTGAGGATTATTTTGTCTTTTCGAAGGGCTGCGGCTGCCGTAAGATTTGGTCAACCAATTCGGTTTTTCTGTACATATGAAAGCTTGCAGTGTAATCAAGTTGGTGCATATTCAGAAAAAGACTTCGGGTTTTTTTTTTTGGAAAATGAGTGAGAGCACTAATTAGTGCTATCACTAATGATGTGGTAGTGGGTCTCACCATGATTGATTTGATGTTTTGGCCTTAGTGTTATATTTTTTTTCTTTTTTTATTGAGGGCCATGTCATTAGTGATCTTTTTAGAGTTTCAAAATTAGTGGTCTCTATCATTGTTGTTTTTTTTTTCCTTCTAATGCTTTATCAATGTATTGTTCTCACGTCCTCAAAAAACAGTTGGTGCATATTTAGCCTCCGTTTGGGAAGTGGGTTAGTTTTTTAACTTTTTGACTTTTTTAGTTATTTTAGTCTGGGCTTAAAAGCTTGGTTTGGGAAGAACTTTTTGACTTTTTTAAGTTTTTTTGTGAGAGAAGAATGTAATGATTATGGGTTGGATATGATGTTTTGTTTGTTATGGCTAAAATAACCTATTTTATTTTTTGTGACTAAAATAGTTAAAAAAGCCTGCAAACCCACTTGCCAAACACAGGCTTAAGGGTGCTGTTTTTGTTCCTCGCAAAACGTGTGGGGTGAATTGGGTGCATATTTAGCTGCTTCAGTGGATATTGATTTGGATATATTATTTTGGATTTTTTATAATCTATTTTGAAATTTTTTGTTCATTTATTTAGTAAATCTTTTCTCTTATTAATTTATGATTATTTAAAATTTACTTAAAGGTGATTTGTGAAAATATTCGTGTCTTGTTTGCAATCGCTTGAAAACTTTTGGTGGATAATAAAATCGGATTTCGATGCAGTAGACGTATCTTATATTGAGAGAACCACATAAAAATTCTTGTGTCATTATTGATTTAATTTCTTCACATTAGTTTTTATTTCTACTAATTGATTTACTTGTGAAAAATCATCCATTTTTCCTAACAGAATTAAGATTAGAGCAATGTTACCAATTAAATTTTTTTTTTTTTTTATAATACTTATATGAGTGTGGGATTTATACCAATACAAGTATTATGTAATTTTTTTAATAATTTTTTGTTAAAATTATAATTAGAGAAACATGAAAAACTAATAATGAAAAAATATTATTTTTTTGGGAACTTTTTTTAAAGATCTATGATATTAAGATTTTATGATATAAAAGACATATATTTTCATAGTAGTTGAGTCTCTCAACACTTACAAAGAAAATTCAACACACAAAAATTTTGTCACAACACAGAAAAATTTAGAAATTTCTTTTGTTTGATCACAAATTTTTTTTATCGAAAGACCTTAGCTAATAAAAAAAATATATTGAATCTCTTCTACCATCCAAAGTTTGATAGAGATATTTCATTAATTTTTTCTTTTTTTATTATAATAATTTTTTAAATTTATAACATTGCTGATATTATCAAATTTTGTGAATCATAAAAATTTATTTCAGAGAATACCCAAAAAAATATGTGTGACATATAAATTTAAAATTAGTGAAATATAGGCTACACTCTATTACAAAAAAGGACCACACTCACAATAATAAATATAAACCATTGATTATTATTCTAAGATAATTTCTTAAATAAAGTTTTCTAAATTTGTAACACTGGTGTTATATTACAGGAAATATTATTTCGCTTCCTAAATTGTAATTCAAAAATCAATTCAACTCCTATTCTTTTAATAATATTAATTTTATACTTAAACTATTTGATTTTAAATCAATTTTAGCATTACCGTTAACTGGTGTTTAGATCAGCAGCCTCTGTTTAATTATAATCGATAATTGATGATGAGATAAAATTAATACAAATACAATAATTTAAATATAAAATTCATATTACTAAAAAAATATATTGTAAATTAAATTATTTTTTAAATTATAATTTAGGAAACAAAATCATTTTTCTTACTACAAAAATATTAGACAATCAAAAATTCTATTAAAATTTTTATCAAATATCTTATATGAGTATAACAAATAAAACATTTAATAAAAAATTTATTATGTAATAAAATTTTTAGAATCTCTAACGTCACTCTTTTTACTGATAAGAGAACATGGGATTATTCACCCAAAAAAACAAAAAACATGGGATTAGCGAAACAGCTGGCGGCCGGTGGTACGTCGCTCGTGGTTTATCCACTTTGTGTAACATCGTTTGACTTTTGCTATGCCTCATTCGCAGAGCATAAAAACACTTTAAAGTAAAGTGAAAGTGGATAAGGTTTGGCGGATATTCCCATTTGACGAGGCACCACGTCATCGCCTCCTGGATTCTACTCCTATACTATACTTTATCCACTTTGTGTCCCTGTCTCTCCTCATTAAAATAATAATAATATAAAAATAATTTTATGTATACTAATATTAATAGAAAGAAAATGTTAAAGGTCCCAAATTTTCTACTAAATAAATAATAAAATGTCCCATATGAGTGTGGGGTCCGCAAAATTGCGGACTCCACACCCATGTGAGACATTTGGTCATTTGTTTGGTAGAAAATTTGGTGTCCCTAACATTACCCTTAATAGAATGTGTAAATAAAACATATTAAATTAATAAAGGTAATGCTAT